ACCACCACCATCCCTTCCTCCGGTTGGCAAAATGCCACAGGAGAGCCTTCCTGCCAGCGTGGCACTGCTGACTCCATCTTTCCTCTCTGCCTCTTCATTTCCTTCTTGCTCTATTGTGCTCTCTTCCAATCACTGTTCCCTCTCTGGCTCTCCAGTCCAGTGAGCTTGATTTTCTCCATCTCCTTCTGTAGTTGTCTCTGTGTGCTTTGCACTAGACTGGTTATGTGCACAGCTAATCCCGAATATACCCACTATGGAGCTTTATAGAAAGGGTAGAGCCAACTTTAGAGGGAACAAATCCAAAAAGGCTGTCTGACAGACCAATCGTCTTCTCAGCTTAAAGCCCAGATCAGCAGGTAATAGAGAGGAGACTTTTCCCCACTGTCCAATTACTATTTGTAAGTTTCATTTTGATGATATCCTTACAACGCTGTGTGTTGTTTTTTCTTGTATGCCAAAGTTGCATTTTTTTAAGTTAGCCACTGGTCTAATTTGCCTGATTTTCACAGTTCCTCAAATAGAAAAGCAAACAGGAATTTGCAAAAGAGAATTTTAGTTCTTAGTTTAGCTCGTCTGGCATTTTAAAATGAAACTGCTTTGTCTTTGCAAGCAGAGACAAACCAAAGGCACCGTATGCTGAATGTATTATGTGTAATGTTTAGCTTCAAAACACAGTTAGGAACATTCGCAACTAAAATACTCCTTGAGAGTCGCAGTTGACCTCTCTACTTATGTGTTCATGCATAAAGGGCTTGTACAGCTTTAACTTTTTTAAATCAAAAAACATATGTTTTCCAAAGCAGTTGCTCATTTTTGTACTGATGATTCAAGTGGGTGCGTCACCTAACAATGTCCATGCAGAAAATGAATTTTACTTATACCTCAGGAAAAATAATCATCTTCCTCCTCATTGCTATTCTGTAGTAGGTACACAATAACACAGCAAGTGTCTACAACAACGCTTCCTAACAGGCACACTGTCATGCTTATTTTTGGTGTTGTAAGAAGCAGTGGAAAAGAGAAATGCTCACTGTGTCTCAGACATCTTGTCTAGCAGGTTCTCAGCTACAGACTTCTCCTTCATCTCCCTCGGGATGCGGTCGGTGGGATAGTGGCTCTCCACGTCTTTGAGCTCATCCTCGTTGGGGGTCATACCCATCATCCTCTTCTGCCTGTGCAAGATAAAGCAGAATGGGCCAGGAGTTTGGCAAAATTCTTATTGAAAACAAAGGACTGATACAGTATGCTGATGAATGTTTTCCCCGATTCTGTGAGCAGACACATAATGCAGATAAAGAGCGCGGCTCGGTGCATTTCCATCCCTAAAATATGGCTATTCAGAACAGTTCCAAGAGAGTGGCTGCTGAACAGAAACCTTTATAATTCACAAAACTAATTCTCATTATACTTCACATGTCCATATCTGCTTATTTTGTGTCTTCTTAGGTTTGATTTACTGAAATAATTGGTCCTGAATGTACTGCTTTTTGGCAGCGTACTCTCAAATCTCAGATCAGGTCATTTTCCTGTGCATATAAATCCAAGGCAGCCTCTCTGAAAGTTATTTTGTTCAGGTTTAAAAACAAAACTCAGCATAAACATCACAGAGACAAAATGCTACTGAAAAAGAATGTTAGAAAGAGAGATCAAGATGACCTTTTCTTGTTCTTTTCTTATGCTCCTGCTATTTATTGCAAACGCCTTCCAGCAAAGACAAATGTACATATGGCTTTAACCGGGAAGGAGCCAAAGTAAGTCTTGAGGATAGGGTAGTTAGAGTTTAACAGGTGTTAAATGTTGTCTAAATCGACATTTGAGCACATTATTGTACACAGTGAACTAAAGCTGCAAGTTTGGATGATATTTAACAATTTAATTTTGTCTAACACACATAATTAAGGTAAGCAATGCCTTTTGACGTTAAAGATTGTACAAAAATGATTGATCAAACATGTACACTAAAATAAAATAGCTTCTTTTGGGATATGTTACTCCTCTAAAGCAAAGTACAAATCGCTACAGGTTCATTGTTCATGCTGCATAAACTGAAGCCAAATGCTGCCTTAATGGTAGGAAATCAATCGCAGAAAACTACTTCAAAATAGTGAGTTGTAATGTGGACAGGTTTAAAGGTTGTAGGTCAATACATAAAAAAAAAACTTATATTACTGTTCTTCTCAACCACAATTTTTCTCCTCTCCAATTAACATGGGAGTAGATGGGGCCGTGAGAGGGTGTTGCTGGCGCAGCAGTGCGTTTCCCGCCAAAACTATTTGTCTGACAGCTTCAGCAGTGGTATCACTGCGACCCCAACGAATTTACCTACGTTTCTATCTATA